TCATCACTTAATGATTTAAGTAATTTTGGATGAAGTTCTTGTTGAAGAAATTTTCTTGCATATAAAGCAACAAAGTCATTTGAAATAGATGAAAGCCATTGAAGTAAATTATGAACTTCATATAATTTAGTAATAACTGCCATTGAACCTTTTTCTTTAGCAAGACTAAGTGGAGATTCATTTTTATTATTTAAACAATAAATATCAGCACCTCCTTTAACTAATATATTAATTAAATCTACTCTATTTAAAACAACAACAAAATGTAATGCAGTATTTTTTGCTTTATTAGCAACATTAATATTTGCTCCATTGTCAATGAGAAATTGAACAATAAGACCTCTAAGTTTTTGATTTTTAACAGTTTTAATAAGAGGTGTTTCAAGATATGAATTTGTAGCATCAATTTCAGCATGTAATTCAACAAATTTTTGTAAAACTGTTTTGTATGATTGAACATTAGCAAAATGATTACAAAAAATATGTAAAGGAGTTTGTTCATCTCTATTTTTTGCATTAACATTTATTCCTGGAAATTGTAATAATGCCATAATAAAAGAAGCATCAGAAGTAAATGTATTACATACATAATGTAATATTGTTTGTTCAGCTTCATCATATTTATTGATATCAGCTTTTACTTTAATCATCACTTTGATTAATTCTTGTGACATATCAAAATCTTTTCTGATAATCATAGAAACATATAACGGATTCTCCTCTTTCGTTTTAAATTTTTCAAACGTTTTTTTATCTACTTTTTTCTTATTAAGATATTCTTTTACTTTATCAGCTGTCTCATTACGTACAATATTGATTAATTTCGTCTTCTTGAACATGAAATATAATGATTAAAGTTCGTCCTTCCATTTTTTTTTTTCTTCTTCTAAAAATGGTTTTCTTTTTATAGATTTCATTTTTATATTTCCAGTCATTCTTCGTTTCGCTTAATCATTTTTATTTCTTCGGGAAATGTCTCCTAATTCAAATGTTGTATTTTTATAAATGATTCTATTTTTATAAATAGAAAGAAATAAAAACAGAAATAGAAAATCCCTGTTAGTTTCAAAAAAGAAAATAGAACTATAACAAATCATTGTTAAATTTTTATAAATTTTAGTTTATAATGAAAGACTTTATGATTCAATTGGATCTTAATAAAACTTTGGATTTTCTTTAGTGGTAATGAAGTAAAATTAGTAAAGACACAAATGTGGCAATAGAATTGTCATGAGGTATTGCTTTTTTATTCTTCAATGAGAAGAATAAACTCAAATGAACTTCCAAAGATATTATTTGTTAGAAATATCAATCTCAATTCACTAAACCATAAAAAATGAAAATGAAAAACAATTAATTAGTTTGTGTTTGTTTTTCTAAAAACATAAAAATAAAGAAAGTTAATGAAATAAAAGGTATTTCTTAATTAATCAAGAAATTGAAAACATTTATTAAAAAAGAATTTAAAACAAATGTTGTTTATTTCAAAAGTGGTGAAAATGGTGAATAAAGAGGTATTAGAAATGTACAAAAAAAAAGATGAAAAAAAAGTTAAGACAAAACACACATTTAATTTTTTTTTTAAATAGTTATTTTTGATATTTAAGAAATTTCAAGATGAAAATTGATGAAAGGAATATTTTGTAGTTCATAGAACTCAACAATTCTCACAGTTATTAAAAGATACAATCTTATCTAATACTTATTTGAGGATATTAATAATTTAGGAAAAGAAATTGAAATTTAAGGGGTATTTGTTAATAAGAAAAAGAAAATACAAAAATAGTGTTTAAATAATTTTAATCTAATAATTCAATTGTGAAATGACAAAAGAAGTTTGGATAATCATTTTTTATAATTCTGTCACAATGGCTTATTGTTTATTGTATAGGTAAGTGCTGTATGTGATGTTTTTTGTGAAGGATACAAAAAATGGAAACAAGAACTTGTTGTTTATGATATTAATGAACAAATGCTTGTTATTTATACTAATGAAAAGAGACTAAGACCAAGTTTTAGAATGTCATTAAATGATGGGATTTTTGTTAAATTATTGAATGGAAGAACTATTGAAGATAAAAAGATTGATTATGGATTTGTTCTTATTGACAAAAGAGATCATTCATTTGTTCGAATTGTTTTTAATAATTCAAAAACACATGCACAATTTTATATTCCAATTGCAAGAGAATGTGAATGTTTTGGTTGTTTTGGTATTCCACTAGATATTGCTGTTCAACGAGGAGAATGGAAAGTTCCATTACCAATATATAGGGCGATTCAGTACTTACTTGAAGGGGATAATCTTCAAACTGATGGATTATTTAGAGTGAGTGCTGCAGGAAGTTTATTAAGTCAAACAAGAAATAGACTGGATAAAGGAAAAGATATTGATCCATCTGAATTTTGTGATGCAAATGTTGCAGCTGGTATTATTAAATTGTATTTACGATCATTACCAGATTCATTAATTCCTGTAGAATTTTCTGATAAATTTATGAATATTGTTCGTTTAGAAGATCCTCAACAACAAATAGAACAAATAAAAGAATTTATCAAAACACTTCCAGAACCAAATTTGTTTGTTTTTAAATATTTATTCATGTTTTTAACAAAAGTTATGGCAGAATCCAAAATTAATAAGATGGTTGCAAGTAATATTGCTATTGTTTTTTCACCAAATTTATTATTCTATGAAGATAGTCAAGATGGATTAATATTATCAAAAAATGTTAATGATTTAATTGCTAAAATAGTAGAACATTATAATGAAATTTGTGGAACAATGGAAGAATTTCCAGGAGATTTCCCTAAATTTAATCCTCAAAAAGAACAAGTGGATCATGAAAACTTTATTATTAAAAAGAAAAATTTAATTTTAAGAAAGTCTGTTCTTTTTACTGATATTGGAAAAAAAGTTGGATTAAAGAAAGAAACTGCTGAAGAGAAAAAAGCAAAAGAAGAAGAAATTGAAAAAGAAAAAACAAAAGAAGAAATGGAAAAGAAAGAACGAGAAAGATTAACAAAGTCAAGTAATAATTTAAATGTTCCTGAATCATCTTCATCAAATTCCAGTCTTGAAAAAGATGATAAAAGTGATGATTCTTCTAAATCTATTCAAACTCCTCGTGGTGGATTATTTGATTCTATTGTGAATTTCCCTAAAAACCATTTAAGACCAACTCCTAAAGAAGATAAAGAAGAAAGAAAACAAGGTAAAGAAGGTAAAAAAGAAGTATTAATGAAAAGAAAATCAATGAAACAAAAAAGTGATCCAATGGAAATATTAAATATGAGAGTTGGAATTATTGAAAGTCAAATCCAAGCTATCTTCCAAATGATGATTGAAATGAATAAAACAATTGATGCTATTGCTATTAAAAATGGTATTACACCAATTCATGAACAAGTTGAAAAAGTTCCACAACCATTAGACTCATTTATTTCTTCAGAGTCATGCGTTTCTGATCATTCATCATGTATTTCTGATAGTAAAAGTCATAACTCTTCAAAAATATCAGAAATATCAATAGATGTTGTTGCTTCAGAACCAATCACACCTAGTATAAGCACTCCTCGAGTAGTTGAACAACAGTCATGTAAAGAGTCTTCAGTTGAAGAAAAAATACCAAAAAGAAAAGTAACAAAACAAGATGAGTCAAAGAAGAAACGTCTTTCAAGAGTATTTGGTTCAAAGTAATAACCTTTTTATTAGAATTAAAAGAAAACCAAAAGAAAACATGAGATGAAATTCATTTTAATCAAATTTAACTTTACCTTTTGGTCGTTGATATTTCTTTTCATTAACTTCTTCAAATTCTTCAGGAGTATATCCTTTTTCAACTTCTTTGACTGACTCTTTTAATGCTTCATCAACAATTTGTTTTTGATTATCATCAAGTTTATTTCCAAGTGAAACAATAACATCTTTTTGAACACTAAGTCGTTTTAATGATTTCTTAAATTTCTTTGCTTCACATTTTTTCTTAACAAGATCAGGAGTTATTTGCTTATTATTTTTCATAGATTCAATTAATTCTTGATCAGTAACATATAGTCCTTTTTCTTTTAATTGTTTTTTAACAAATTTTCTAAATGTTTCAGCAGAATTAACATCTTGTTCAACATAATTACGTAATGCTTGTGGAATAGTTAATAAACCAATTAATAAACAAAAACTAAAGAATTTGACTGGAATAATAGTTAATATAGTTACTATTAATATTCCAGTAAATAACATACAATAAAATATCATAACTTTTGGTACATCTTTAGATAAAATACCTATCTTTTCATAAATCATTTCTCTAAAATGTTTAATTGGTTCAAGAACACTTTTTTTAAAACGAGTGTATTGAACATGTTTTACTTTTCCTTTCCATGGAAGCTTTTTTGACTCAACAACAATATCCAAATGAAGAACAATAAGAAAGAGAGAGATATAACCCAAACATACTGATAATGAATTTAAAAAATCAACTAAACTACAAATAAATAAAAAAATTGTAAAGGATATTCCTGCAACAGTAAAATAAGCTGTTGATCCATTGTCTCCACTAAAACAATTATATATATATGCTATATCCATTTTATGTCCTTTCCACCAACTAACATTTCCTTGAAGAATATCTGAATAAGACATTTTCTTTTTATTATAAGTTTCTTTTATTTTAATTTTTAATTTTATTAATTTAATTTTTTAAATAAATTTTTTTAAAAATATTCTTTTTTAACTGGTTTTTTTAATTATTGTTTTTCTTCTTATCTATTTTAATTTTTTAATTCATTTCTAAATGATTTTGAATTTACTTCAATAAACTGGTTTAATTCTTATTTTATTCTATCTCTTTTATGATAAATAATGCAACTCATTAACAACTCATAAAATATTGTAGGTTCATTCTTTTACAAGAAAATTATTAAACAATTCTTTTTGAATAAAAACAATTTTTTAAAGAATAAATTAGAATGTTATTTTTATTATTTACGAATAAAAGTCAGATAATAAATGTAAATCCAATAAATTAAGATGAACAAATAACAATAGAATTACACAGATTTAAATTAAAAGAAATTACCTTGAATCTAAATTTGATAATGCTACACATACCCCACTGAGAACATAAATCATTAAAAAGAGAATACAAAATTTACTAATTGTTAAAATTAATAAACTGAGTTTAAATAGTTTTCAAGTATTTAAGTTGAAGAATGAAGTTATAGTAAAAAACATATTTATTATATCAAAAAATTTGATATGAATTTATTTATTATTTAAAATAATAAACATTGTATTTATTCTAGTTTAAATCTTTAACAATAAATAAACCTGAATATTATTTATTAAATTATTAAATTTGAAGAAATTAATTGAAAGAAATTGAATGTGAAATATCTCCAATTAATTCTTTTGAATTGAATAATAAATCTTTGATTTTTTGAATTTGAGATGATGGAAAATTTTGAATATATTTAGTTGTATCAGCATTTACTTCAATACCATTAGAAGTTGAAGTAAATGAAGTAATTAAAGTACCCAGACAATTCCAAATTAAAGAAACGTCATTTTCACAACAATTTCTTTTAAGATAAGATAAATACCATTCATTTTGTTTTTTCCAAAGAATTATTGCATATTGACCATTTGAATCAAATCTCCCAACAAAGTCAATCACTCCAAAAATACCAACTTTGTTTGTTAAACTTCTTCCAAATTCAAAATGAAAATCAAAAGGTAATGATGGCATTCTTGTTCTTCTTGGTTTTCTTCTTTCATTTAATCCTTTTAGATTAATAGATGTATTTTTAAATGAAGGAATTAAATAAACTCTAATACCAAAATTTCCAGTGAGAAGTAATTCAAATTTTTCTTTAGTAAGAATTATATCATATGGAATAACTTTATAATCAAATAATGAACTAGAATGTGGTAGTCTATATATAAATGCTGATAATGATTCAATTGGTTTTATTTTATAAAATCCTAAAAATAATGAGATTAATGTTGAAGTACCAAATTGATCCATTAAAACATTTTTATAACTTGAAATTAATAATGATGGTGTTGATTCAATTTCATTAAGATCAAATGATGGTAAAATTAAAGTTAATGAAATACCACCAAGATTACTTAAATATTGAATAAAAGAAGGAGAATTTTTATTTACACCTTTATTTTGAATTTGAATTGATAATGAAATAGGATTAATTTTAAGATAATCTACAATTAATTGCATTGGATTAGATACTTTATATCGTTTTAATAATCTAAAATCATCTTTTAATTGAATTAATTTAGAAAGTAATAAAGTATCTGTTTGTATTTTTAATGGTTGAATATTAAATGTTAAAAATTTAATATATGTTAAACTTGTTTGAAAAGAAGGAACAAATGATATACCAAAATGAACCATTCTTTGAGTCTCTTCTTCTATCCATTCTGATTTATCAGAATTCATTGAAACAATACTTATTGGTCCAACATTATCTTCCCACATTGAATCAATTTGAAAATAATCACAACAAACTTCTAATGCTATTTCTTCATTTATTCCTCCAATACATTTAAATCCAAAAATACTTCCAAACAGTATTTCTTTAGCAAATTTATCAAAAACACTAATTCCAATAGTTAAAACTTTTAATTCCATTATTTTAATACTATTTTCTTCTACTTCTTCTTGATATTGAATTTTCATAACAACTCCTTTTTCAAGTTTAAATGAAACAATACAATTATTATCATTAATTTTTATTTTTGTTGTATTAATTTTAAAAGGTGAAACTTCTGTTCCATTAATAATGAATGTTTTTTCTTTATTTAAGTCTTCCCATGCAATTGGACATCCTTTCATTGATGGAATATGAAAAATATATTTACACATTTTTTGTTTAACATCTAAATCAATATTTAATTCATTTTCTATTCTCAATGTTGGAGATGAACATCCAGATAAAGTACATACAAATACATCATTTGTTCTTTTAATTGATACATGATATATTCCATCAAAAAATAAATCACTTGACATTGACTGATCTAAATTTAATAATCTTTTAATACCATTCCGTTCAAGTAATATTTGTTTTGTAAGTAATGGAATCATTGATTTGGGATATATCACTCCTTCTTGTTGGTGTGTTTTAAAGTTAAATGAATAATTTGTTTCATTATGGAAAACAAATTTATGTTGTAATGAAACAAAAATCATATGTTCACTTGGTTTTGGTTGGTAACAATGTTGAGATGAAGTAATAATGTATTGTTGTGTTTTACATGAAGCAATAATATTATAATTTAAACCAACAGAAACATTAAATGCATAACAATCACTTTTATCTTCTATTACAAATGTTGTACTTTCAGTAACAACAGAAGTACTAGATGGATATGCCTTAAAATCATTCATAATTTTCAATTCATTCCACATAATTGGAATAATTGAATTATTAATCACATAAACAGGAATCCATATTTCAAGTGTTGTTATTCCAACATTTGTTGTAAGTTTTCCTCTCATAAATTCATTAATTTGAAATGGTTTATCATTTGAAGGTAATTTAAAACAATACCTCTCTTGTGAAGGAAGATAATATCCATTCAATGCCTTTTCTAGTCTTAAACTTATTTCTGTTGGAATATCAGTTATTGTCTCTGAATGAAATGGATCAATAATAAGTTGATTAGATTTTGAATTTGACTTGAAGTGATAGTTAGTTTTATACGGTAATGATGAAATGATTTGGAATCTATTATATAAATGAATTTCATAAAAACTGATAGAATCAATTGATGATGTATTAAATATTAATGATATTGAATGATTGGATAATGATACAACCTCACTCTTTAATATCCCATCATTATGTTGTTCATTTACATCTGGCATTGAAATAGAAGAACCATTAGATAACATAAGATGAATAGGAATTGTAGTAATTATTGGATGAAATGAATATTCTTTAAATGGAGATAAAGTAATGTTATATGGTTTTGGATTTTGAAAACTTTTAAAAGTAAGTGAAAATTGTTCATTAATATGATTTATAAGAAGAATACCACTTGTTAATGTCAAACAATTATTTTTATATAACACAATTAATTTCCCACTAAATTTTCCATTTCTTAAAAGATTATATTGACTTGTTTTAAGATGAATTTGAATAGGTTCAAATCCATTAATATGAATAATAAATAACTCATGAAATGAAATTAACATTTCTGTTAATTCATTAATTGTATATTCTTTTGTTGATGTTTTAACAACAACTTTAAATGGAGTTGTATTTTTAAATTGAATCATTTTAAAATCAGAAAAAGAAATAGAGTCATTATCTGGTTTCTTTTGAAGTGAATAACAAAAATCATTAATGTCTTTCATAAAACTTGGAAAAACATTTAATGCAACTTCTTTACAAAAGATTTGAGGAATATTCCTTTGTGTTGATTTAATAGTAAAATTTGTTGGTTCTAAAACAAAGAACCATTCATCTAAATCATACACAAAACTAGTAACTTGAATATACCCATCACCATCCCATTTAAAAGAAGTGTTTTCATTCATAACTCTTCTAATAAACATTTCTTCAAATGATAATTTACATATTGGATATGACCACCATTTATTAGATTCATTATCATCTTTATATATTGAAATATCTATATTTCCATGTATTTGAAGTGATCTTAAAGCTTTTTTAACATTTTGAGAAATATTTAAATGAAATACACGTTGAATTGGATATAATTCAATTGGATAATATTCATTATTTGTATTTTCATTGCCAAAATGATGATATTGCATATATAATTGTTTTAAATTACAAATATCTGATGATGAAATATTAATGTCAATATTATCATTACAAATTTCTAAATTCCAATAAATGTCTTTTATTTTATTTCTTTGTAATATAATAATAGTTGTTGTAGGACAAAGAATATCTGGAACTTTTGTAATAATATGACTTGAAGAAATAATTTGATAATTCATTAAAATTATTCTTAATTGTTCATTTCCCCAGTCATTTGAATATGTCATACTTGTATATCCTTTTAATTGAAATACATCAAACCATTCTTTATCTTTAATATAAATAATCCAATGTTTAATAAAACATTGATAATCATTATAACTCTTTATTGTATTTATATTTTCTTTTGGCTCTCCATCAATTAAAGATGAAATAAAATTGAACGAACGTTTAATAGACATCCAAATTAAATGAATAAATTGAATAATTGTATTCATTATTGGTTTTAAAAATTCAATACACTGTTTAATTTGAATAGGAGAAATAGCAATTATTGGTGATGAAATATTTATTGACATTTTTTTTAATTGACCTTCATCTACCTTCTTTTCAAATTCAATAAAATTCGTTTGTTCATTTTGAGAGGAATTAAATAAACACATTTTTTTATTTTCTTTACAACTAATATCTTGAATTTCTATTACTTTAATATATCCTTTATAATCTTTACATTCTTTTTGAAAAAATACTTCTTTAATATTCATTAAAAATGAATCGTTAATATTTGTATGAATCCCTTGACATTTGACTTTGAATTTAACTCGAAATCCCATCACCAATAATACTTCAAGTGTTTTATATTTTTTAAGTTCTCAATAATTTTATTTTTTAAAAAACAAAAAAAATATATATATATAGATATTAAATTGCTATAAATAACAATTTATGATTATTATTTTCTTTATTCATCTAATCCTGCTAATGGGTCGAATAATTCTTCATTTGTTTGTTCTTTATAGATTGGTTCAGCTGCCTTTGGTTTATTCATTTCTTCCATTTTTTGTTCTATAATTTAATTAATGATTTAAAAGAATTAATAGAATAGAATTAAGTTGATGAATAACAATAAAATGAACAAACTTAATTTCTCTTCTTCCTTTGCTTTATCAATATCTAATATTTTCTTATAAATGTCAATATATTTCTTTAATTGTAAAATAAATGGAATAGTTGGATCTTGAGATTTAACGGTACATTCATGTAAATTTAATTTTCCTTGTAAAAACAAGGAATATAAATAAGATCCATGCATTTTTGTTTGTTTTTCTTTTTCAATAAGAATAACTTCATGCATAATCCATCGATATCTTTCCTATTTAAATTAATTTTATTATTTCTTTTTTAATAAAACAAAAAACAAACAAAAAATTCTGCTGGAGAAGTACTTTCTTGTTGTCCTTTTTTCTTTGATAGCTTTTTAGTTTTTACTTTTTTCGTTAATGTTATATTAAAATTGAATTTATTTTCTCTTAATTTAAATAGTTCTTCAATTGTATAGACTTTTATTTCTTCACCTGACATGTAAAACTATGTCTTTTTGAAGTTCTTTTTTTTTTTCCTTTTCTTTTTTGTTACTTCTTTTTATTATTGATTTTATTATTAGGTATAAACTATTAAAACTATTAAATTATATTATTACTTATACTATTCCTTTGTT